GGCCACTGGGCCTGTCCCGCTGGTCGGTCGCAGATCTGCCCACCTTTCGGGCACGGGTGGTGGCTCTGCTCTGCCCCTACTCCAATTGGGGTGTCGTGACTACCCCACCGGCAGGTTGCTGGGCCTGTTCCTGGCACGGGTGGCGATTCTGCTTCCACGCCAGCAGGCTCCTGGGCCTGATCCGCTGGTCTGTCGCAGGTCTGCCTACTTTGGAGGTGCGTGCAGTGGTTCTGCCCTGCCCCTCCTACCACGCCTGCGGACCGCTGTGCCTGATCTGCAGGTTGGTCACAGGTCTGCTCACCCTGCGGACACGGGTGGCAGTTTCGCTCCACCCCCACTCCAATTGGGGTCACGTGACCACCACACCGGCAGGGCCTGATCCGGGCGTAGGCGAAGGATCTGCTCTGCCCCTACTCCAGTTGGGGTGACGTGTGTACCACGCTGGCAGGCCGCTGGGCCTGACCCACCAGTCTGTCACAGGTCTGCCCACCTTGCGGGCGCGGGTGGCGGCTCCGCTCCGCCCCCTCTCCAATTGGGGTCACGCGGTCACCACGCCGGCGAGCTGCTGGGCCTGCTCAGGGCGCTGGCAGCGGCCCGGCTCCTCCCCTCTGGCTCGACGCAAATCGAGAGAGACTAGGGTGTCTGTGCCTCACCCCCCCTACCAGGAGACCAACTGTTTCTGTCACCGCTGGTATTGATGAAGTTCTCTCCTCTGCCACTTTCTGATGACATCAGATCTCTGCCATGTTGGTATCCTATGCGAATGGCAGCATTTCGTTCCCCTTGCCGGGCAACCAAAGCAACGGGTGAGTCCTGACCGGCCCTCAGCAGGACCCGGACCGAGAAGCAGTTTCCGCGGGCTCCTAGCCCTGGGCCAGGGCAGTTCCGGGAGCCGTAACTCGGCCGCTCCGTGCTCGGTGTATGCTTTGATAAGAGCAGACTCCAAGAAGCAGCCTCCGCAGGCTCCCCAGCCCTGGGCCAGGGCCAGATGCAAAAATCTTAATAAAATTCTGGCAAATCGAATACAAAAACATATCAAAAAGATCGTGCACCATGATCAAGTGGGTTTCATCACAGGGATGCAAGGTTCATTCAACATATGAAAATCAATAAATGTAATTCATCACATCAATAAACTTAAAGATAAGAATCATATGATCATCTCAATCAATGCAGAAAAAGCATTTGACAAAATACAGCACCTCTTTATGTTCAAAACACTAGAAAAACTAGAGATAACAGGAACATATCTCAACATCATAAAGGCTATCTATGCTAAGCCCCAGGCCAATATCATTCTAAATGGAGAAAATTTGAAAGCATTCCCTCTAAAAACTGGAACAAGACAGGGATGCCCTCTTTCACCACTTCTATTTAACATAGTTCTTGAAACACTGGCCAGAGCAATTAGACACATGAAAGAAATTAAAGGGATACAGATAGAAAAAGAAGAACTCAAATTGGCACTATTTGCTGATGATATGATTCTATACCTAGAAGTCCCTAAAAGTTCTACCAGAAAACTTCTAGAACTAGTAAATGAATTCAGCGAAGTAGCAGGATATAAAATCAACACCCATAAATCAAAGGCATTTCTGTATATGAGTGACAAATCCTCAGAAAGGGAAATGAGGAAAAGTACCCCATTTATAATAGCCTCAAAACAAATAAAATACTTGTGAATCAACTTAGGTGAAAGATCTATATAATGAAAATTACAGAACCCTAAAGAAAGAAATCAAAGAAGACCTTAGAAGATGGAAAGATCTACCTTGCTCTTGGATAGGCAGAATTAATATTATCAAAATGACCACACTACCAAAAGCACTATACAGATTTAATGCAATTCCGATCAAAATCCCAATGACATTCCTCATAAAAATAGAAAAAGTAGTCATGAAATTCATCTAGAAAAGTAAGAGACCCAGAATAGATAAAGCAATTCTTAGCAGGAAGAGTGAAACAGGTGGCATCACTATACCAGACCTTAACCTATAATACAGAGCAATAGTAACAAAAACAGCATGGTATTGGCACCAAAACAGACTGGTAGACCAATGGTACAGAATAGAGGACACAGAGACTAACCCACAAAACTACAATTATCTTATATTAGACAAAGGTGCCAGGAACATGCATTGGAGAAAAAATAGCCTCTTCAACAATTGGTGCTGGGAAACTAGAAATCCATATGCAACAAAATGAAATTAAACCCCTATCTCACCATGCACAAAACTCAACTCAAAATGGATCAAGGACTTAGGAATACAACCAGAGACTCTGAGTCTAATAGAAGAAAAAGTAGGCCCTAATCTCCATCATGTGTGATTAGGCCCCAACTCCCTTAATAAGACTCCTATAGCACAAGAATTAAAACTAAGAATCAATAAATGGGATGGACTCAAATTGAAAGTTTCTTCTCAACAAAAGAAACAATCTGTGAGGCGAAAAGAGAGCCTACATCTTTACCCCTCACACATCAGATAGAGCACTAATCACTAGGTCATATAAAGAATTCAAAAAACTAGACATCAAAAAACCAAAAACCCAATCAATAAATGGCCCAAGGACCGGAAGAGACACTTCTCAGAAGATGATATACAATCAGTCAACAAACACATGAAAAAACGTTCATCATCATTAGCAATTAGAGAAATGCAAATCAAAACCACTCTAAGATTTCATCTCACTCTAGTCAGAATGGCAGCTATTATGCATACAAACAACAATAACTGTTGGCGAGGATGTGGGGAAAAAGGTACACTCATACACTGTTGGTAGGACTGCAAACTGATGCAGCTAATATGGAAAGAAGAATGGAGATTTCTTCGAAAATTGGGAATGGAACCACCATTTGATCCAGCTATCCCTCTTCTCCGTCTATACCCAAAGGACTTAAAAACATCATACTACAGGGACACAGCCACATCAATGTTTATAGCAGCACAATTCACAATAGCTAAATTGTGGAACCAACCTAGATGCCCTTCAATAGATGAATGGATAAAAAAAAAATGTGGCATATATACACAATGGAATATTACTCAGCAATAAAATAGAATAAAATCATGGCATTTGCAGGTAAATGGATGGAGTTAGAGAAGATAATGCTAAGTGAAGTTAGTCAATCCCAAAAAACCAAATGCTGAATGTTTTCTTTGATATAAGGAGGCTGATTCATAGTGAGATAGGGAGAGGCAGTATGAGAGGAATAGACAAACTCTAGAGAGGGCAGAAGGTGGGAGGGGAAGGAGAGGGGCATGGGGTATTTAATGATGGTTGAATGTGATGATCATTATTATCCAAAGTACATGTATAAAGACACGAATTGGTGTGAATACACTATGTATACAACCAGAGATACGGAAAATTGTGCTCTATATATGTAATAAGTATTGTAATGCATTCTGCTGTTATATATAAATAAAAAAACTTCTGCCTATCAAAGAACATGAGAAGTCTTTCTCTTATCTACTGTCTTCTTTAACTTTTCTTTAGTGTTCTATCATTTTCATTGTAGAGGTCCTTCACCAACTTTGTTAATTTCCCAGTTTCCAGGTTTTTTGTTTTGTTTTGTTTTTTTAGGTTATTGTGAATGAGACAGCTTTCCTCATTTTTTTTTCAGCAGATTCATTATAGGAGAATAGGAAAGCAATTGATTGATGTATGCTGATCTTATATCCTGAAACTTTATTGAATTCATTTGTCAACTCTACAAGCCTTCTGGTGAAGTTTTCTCCATCTTCTAAATACAGGATCATGTCATTAGCAGAGATAAGTTGACCTCTTCTTTTCCTATTTGTGAATCCTTTTAATTTCCCTTTCTTGCCTGATTGCTCTGGCTAAAGTTTCAAGGACTATGTTGAATAGGAGTAGTGAGCGTGGGTATCCTTGTCAAGATCCCTTTACACACTCAAAGAGCATTTTCTGACAGTTATGTGTATAATATTTACTGTATTAGAAATTGAAACTGAGAGATGTTTTAGATATTAATTCATTTAAAATGATAATAATAAACCTACCACCCACTAGAATACATTACAGTCAGTAAAAATAAAAACTTCTAATTAAATTTAGTGAGAAGCATAGATTTGTTTTACATTTTTTTAAAAAATCACTTTAATACCAGGACCAATAAAAGACAATTGGATTTCCCCATATACTTCTGCACCGAATCTACTGTGGTATCACATAACTTTAAGCTTTTGGGAAAATGAGAGAAAATTAAAAAGACAAATATCAACTTAGTGGGAAATTAGTTTTGATCTCAGACTTAATGAAAAGGTCCTGGGGAGGACCAGAGATTCTGTAAGCACAAATTAAGAATCAGCCCACTTATACTGACTTATTATATGGGTGTCATTTATCATATGGGTGTTGAAGGAAGAATAATGACAAAGTTCCTAAACACCACTGATTTGTATTTGAAAAGTGAGATATTCAAGATGCTTCCTGAAGGAGTCCCTGTGGTGCTTTTTTGAATGGGACAGCATTTAGGCTAAAGCTGTTTCTCTCTGGTATATGCTTTTGGTTTTAAGAATCTCTTGACTTTTTCAAACCTCTAAACAAAATTAATCACTCCCCAGAGGCACTTATTACTGAATTAAATGGGTTAAAGTTAACAGCATAACTTTATTCAGGAAAATCAGATAAAAATTATTCCCAGTATAATGTCTCTCTTAAGATAACACAGTAAACAAAATAACAAGTTACAAAAGTTGCAGTTAAAAAAATACCAATTCATTTACAAAATATTTTTAATGATGGTTATATTATGTATACAACCATAGATACGAAAAATTGTGCTCTATATATGTAATAAGTATTGTAATACATTCTGGTTTCTCTTTTATTTTTTAATTGGCAAATGTATTGAATATATTTAATGTGTACAATACGATGCTTTGAAATATATAATAATTATATATATATATATATATATATATATATATATATATATATATATATATATAATGTATAATAATATACAATGTGGAATGGCTAAATTAGCATACGCATTACCTCATTTTAGTGTGTGTGGTGAGAACAATTAAAATCTAGTCTCAGCAATTTTCAAGTGTACAATACATTGTTGCTAACTATAGTCACCATGTTGTACAACAGGTTTTTGAACTTGTTTCTCATGTCCAACTGAAATTTTGTATTCCTTGACCAACATCCCCTGAACCCTCCATCCTTTTTCAGTTTCTGGTAACCACTATCCTACTCTCAACTTGTATGAGATCAACTTTTTTGGACTCCACATATGAGATCATGGCAGTACTTGTCTTTCTATGTTTAGCTTATTTCACTTAACATAATGTCCTCTAGAACCATCCATGTCTTCACAAATAACAAAACACTCTTCTTTTTAAAGGCACAATTGTATTCTACTGTATATACATACCATATTTTCTTATCTGTTCATCTGCTGATGGACACTTACACCTTAGCTATTATAAATATTTAGCTATTATAAATAGTGCTGCAATGAATGAGGGAATTCAGTTATCTTTCTGACATACTGATTTCATTTTCTTTGTAAATGCACCCAGTAGTGGGATTGCTGAATTATATGGTAGTATTTGTGTGTGTGTGTGTAAACTCCATGCTATTTTTCATAATGGTTAAACTAATTTACATTCCCATCGACAGTGTATAAGGGTTCTCTTTCTCCAGGTCTTCTCAAACACTTGTTATCTTTCATTTTTTATGATAGCCATCCTAAAAGGTGTGAAGTCATATTTCATTGTAATATTAATTTATGTTTCCCTGATGATCAGGATGTTAAATGTTTTCTGATAAGCTCATTGAACATTTGTTTTCTTTTAAGAAATGTTAACTAGAGCCCTTTGTCCACTTTGGAGAGGTGCTGGGGATTGAAAAGAAGCTGTATCACCAGTCCTTTTTTAAATTATATTATTATTTTATTTTGAGACAGGATCTTGCTAAATTTCTGAGGCAGGCCTTGAATCTGCAATCTTCCTGCCTTAGCCACTTGAGTCACTGGGATTATAGGAATGCATCACTGTACCTGGCCTTTGCCTATTTTAAAATTTAGTTATTTGCTTTCTTGATATGGGGTTGAGCTTTTATATATTTTAAATATTAATCCCCTATTAGATGCATAGTTTGAAAATACTTTTTTCTATTCCATAAGCAAAAATTTCATTATGTTTTCTTCCTTTGCTGTGTTTAGAAGTTATCTCAAAGACTATTATGCCCTAAAATGCTTAAAATGCAAGCCCAATATGTGTTTGTCTGTGAACTTTAAAGAATATTTTAAAAGCATGTATTTATGTAACCACATCCAAGTTGCATGACAGTCTGAAAATAAAAATTTACAATATATTAACAAATAATATTATAACAAGACACAAATAAAGATGTGTATGATTCCATTCACACAAAGTTTAAAAATGGGCTAACCTATACAATTTTATATGTAAATGAATATAGAGGTAGTGAAGCTATAAAGAAAAGGAAGAAAGTTATGATTAAAGCTGGAATAAAGATAACTTCGTGGGTGGGGATTTGTTAGTAGGGAGGATTTATGAAGAATTTCTTGAATGCCAACAATGTTATATTAGACTTGTGGCCTCATAAAATAAGTTGGGGACTGTTCCACATTTTTCTAATCTCTAGAAGAGTTTGTACAGATTCTAATTCATCACTTTTGAATATTTAGTAGAACCAGTCATTAAAGTCATCCAGGGTTAAATTTTTCTATACAGAAAAATGTTAGGAAACTGGTTCATTTAATGGTTGTAAGATTATTCAATTGTAGTATATTTTGGTGACATAATATCACTAAATTACATTTTTAATGAGCTTTCCATTTTACCTAAATTTTGGCATAAAATTTCTTATCACATCCTGTCTACATGTGCTACTTTGAGGGGTTTTGACTTTTATTCCATTAATACTGAAACATTATGTAGCCTAAAAATAATTACAAGATCAGATTTTCTACTTTTAGAAAAATTACTGACATTAGTGTAGAAGATAGACTGGCTAGAATAAAGAATAAAGACCACCCAGTTAGATAATTAGCACAATAATCTAAAGAAAAGAAGATATGAACATAGAAAATAGAGTCATCAAAGGTTTCACTATGAAATTCAAAGAGAATGCTCTTTGAACTCAGAATAAGTGTTCCCCTATGTGAAAACTGCTTTATTGTTTACATAGCATTAAAAAATGTAATTAAAATTAGGTTCCTCTTGAAAATCATGTGCAAAAAAAAAATCCATTTTATTATAACCTAAGGGGAATTATAGGTTTTAACAGAATCTTCACCTTCCCTTTTTAGAAAAGAACACTAGTCTTTTATGACCGGGGGTTGGGGTGGAAACAATCAGTTAAGGTTAAACCCTATTGTAGTAAAAAATTCAGAATCCTGACCTAACCAGTCTAAGAAAATGTCACTAAGGCTTACTGCAAAAAGGGTGGCTTAGTATAAAAGCATAAAGAATTGAGTTGAACAGCCAACAATAAAAAATTTAAAAAAAAAAAGAATTGAGTTCCTATCCCCTTCCATTCTCAACCAGATCCTGATGCCCAAACACCTTCAGCTAAGAATTGACCAGCTCATTGATCTTTTCCCTTTTAAAACAACCAAATAGCTCTAATTTTGCCTTCATTGTTTAATTTTCCTCCTTATAACAGGGTTTTATTTCAACATTTGTGGCTGAGTTGGGTATTTATTAAGAACACTTAAGATTAAGAAGACTTAAAATTAAGAAGATAGTTTAATATATCTTATAATTTTAATGTTTTCCAATGTCTACATTTAAATGATTTCATGGATATCCTGACTTCTTCCCATAATCAAAATATTTCTTTAGTAATAGAGAGTCCTGCCTCAAAGTCTCTGAAAGAATAAATTGCTTAAGAAGATTAGACTCATTTTCTTTACTTCGAGGCATTTCTGACAATCCACACTGAAATTACACAAGATTAACTCCATTAACATTATTTCCCATTCTTGAAACCAGTAGATATTTAGAAAGCAGCATTTGGACCGAATAGTTCAAAATATATTTTAAGAACATCTCAAACTTCTTAGTAATGCTAATATAAGTATCATTTAAGGATTAGAATAGGGTGCTGAGAGGACAAGCAACATATAGTGAGCCATAAAATATAAAGATGTTGCTTCTTTTTCTCTTTGTCATTTAGTCTGCATATTATATTTGCAAGTGTATTTCAAATCAAATGAAAAGCTATAGAATATAACACTATTATCCCCTCAAAAATAGGGTTATTATCTTGTATTTGTCTTTCTCACTGCAGATCATAGAGTGCCTTTAATTTAGAGTCATTCAAGTATTTGTAGACTATTATATTTGGTGCTGCTTAGTGGCCAAAAAAAAAAAAAAAAGTGTAAAGCAGAAGGTTTAAAAAACCAGATTAAAATAGTTCCATAGACATCAGCTCTCCCTAAGATGGATGCTACCGGAAATGTGAAAACAAAAAATTCCTAATACAGGCACTAAATTTTAAACTAGAGTACTAAGCTGTCATTGGCACTATTAAAAGGTATAATGCATAGATTCTCTCCCTGGCATTATTTGTTGGCATGGACTACCAGAACCACTCTGAATAAACACAATCATAATCCATCAATTCTTTTACCTTCTACTTTCTGAAACTCAAGTAGTCTTCAAGGTTTTTATTTGCAGAATTAATACCCAACCATATTAGCCAGGCACACTGGCACACACCTGTAATCCCAGCTACTCAAGAGGCTACGGCAGGAAGATTGCAAGTTCAAAGCCAGCCTCAGCAACTTAGAAAGACCCTGTTTCAAAATTTAAAAATTTAAAGGCCTGAGGATATGGCTTAGTGATTAAGTGTCTCTGGTACCAAAAAATTAAAATAAAATAAAATGCAAACATTTCAGAAGTTGAGAAAAAAATGTCCCATTTTGCTACCTTTTGAGCATTCCTCCAATCTCTTTTCCAACCTTTCATTAATACAAAAAAACTTTGCATTTAGTTATGCAGCGTTTCATGCTCTTTTTGGTCTCTTAATGGTTGTTTCCAGATGGAAAATGTTGGGAAACACTGCTAGATAGTTTGAATGAACTTCTGAATCTCCAGATTTAGAGATAGTCATTTCCACTTATTTAAAAAAAAACTTTCTGTGAAAGCTAATTTTAATGACTTTATGACAAAACACATTGATCTCAATGGAAAGTCATTAAATAAGAATTTTATAAGAGAGCACAGAGAAGTAATAATAACTCTAAGAACACTTGATGAAATTTACTGAGTTTTACTTGGTGCCAGACACTATTCTTAGTGCTTCACAGGATTTTCTAAAATGAATTCCTTATCAGTAAAAAAAAAATTTTTCCCCTCCGGGGATTGAACTCAGGGGCACTCAAACCCACTGAGCCACATCCCCAGCCCTATTTTCGATTTTATTTAGAGACCGGGTTTCAGTGAGTTGCTTAGTGCCTCACCTTTGCTGGGGCTAGCTTTGAATTTGCGATCCTCCTGTCTCAGCCTCCCAAGCTGCCACCGGTGGTTTTCATCAGTAAAATTTTAAGATATGGTACATGTGATCATTAGTACCTCTATTCATAATTTTATTTTATTTTAATTTTTTGGTACCAGAGGTGCTTAATCACTAAGCCATATCCTCAGGCCTTTTAATTTTTTAAATTTTGATCAGAGGTACCTCTATTCATAGTATTGGAGCCCATGTCTGAATTAAAAGTTCTCAACTACACCAGTATTTCTTAAACTTTAATCATTCACATATTATCATCATAATTACTGCTATATTTTCACTGTTATTTACTGAATACCCTTCAATTGATTCTCCCTCTTTAAAATTAAATTTAGTTTTAAAGGAAATACAGTATTATCACATAGACTAGACACCAAAATTGTTTGCCATAAATACACATTAAGTGGAAAAACACATTCAATAAAACAAAGCAATCTTACTAAATTCTAGTTAGATATTGCTGGCTGCTGATATTCCTGAGCATAAGATCCTAGATGTTTCTGCTAAAAAAAAATTAAATCAGCAAGCATTACTAATATATGTAAATTAGTATCAATCAGGTTTAAGCAGAAAAATTGATGAGAGGACTAAAAGAGAATTCCAACTTCCTTGCTATGCTTTTTCAACGATATTTAACTTGGACTAGGTACTATCTAAAATAACGTCTTAGGACCTATATGGTTTTGCATTTCACTACAAAACAAATCCCAAAATATTCTGCAAAATATTCCAAAATGATTTGGAAATTTCCTGGAGGATCTCTTTTATTTCTATTTTAGTTATGAATCTCAAAAGAAATCTTGTTTCAAGACACACTCCAATATGCCTATTAACTAATGGTAGGTAATATCAAGCTAGCAGAAATGAACTTATCTAAAAACTCTGTCTTCAGAAGGCAAATACTGAGTAGATGAAATAGTACTGATCTATGAAGCATAATCAAATTCAACTATATACTACCTTCTTTGACCTTAAATAGGTCAATAACACTCAGATATGTTTCTAATCCACAAAAAAGAGGGAAGGGGGATGCTACCTCCCCATAGGGTGGGTATATGGACAAAATGAGACAAACTTGCATAACAGACACTCAATACATGACAATTGGATCAAAAGTTACATGTAACCTTTAGTTTTTTCCAACTGACAAAACATCCAGGTGTTTTTATCTTAATAAAAAGAACTCAAAATTGTTTCCCTGTAATAATCTATAGAAACTATTATTCAGTTTCAAATACAACCTTGAAAACTGAAACTAATTAAAGGTCATGCTCATGAAGATCTGAAATATCCCATAAAAAGTATAAAAATCTGGGTGACTGGTCATCAGTTAGTCCAAAGTACAATAATACAATTCCTAAACTGAAAAAAAAAAATTATCAAGGCAAATATTATTGGTACATAAAAATGATTTCCCACATGAATAATATCTAAATATATTTTATAGTAGCTTAAAATAAAGTAAGTCATTCTTTCTTCCTTCATGTATGGCTGAAATATTTACTAAATAAATAAATAAATAAGATAGCTAAAATTACAGTGCCATCTAGAGGCAAAGTAAATAAGATGGCAAATTTTATTCCTTTCATACTCAACATTTACAAGAAAATTTTTTTAAAATATTTTTCCTTGTTGATAGAACTTTACTTTTATTTATTTATATGTGGTGCTGAGAATCAAACCCAGTGCTTCACATATACTAGGAAAGCACTCCACCACTGAGCTACAACCCCAACCCCAGATTTTTGTAATTTATACACTCATTTTCTAATTCCATTTACAGAATATAACTTATGAAATAAAGTTAAAACATTTTTTTCCTAATAAAAAAATTTTACTACCTGAAGAACATCACTTCATTCTCAATAAACAAACTCTGAAGGCAATTTTAAAAAAATCAATAGTGCTATAATATCCAATTATTTTGTTTTGAGATTTATTTATTGGCAAGTTATAAAATTCCAAAAACAGTAACTTTTCAGTATTAAAAAAAAAAACACTTCATCATCTTAAACGAACATTTTCTTTTCTTTTTTCTCTTTCAAGCTTGCACCTTAAGACATTTATTTATAATAACTTAAATGTTTGTTAGGCACTTCTTATATTAGTTAGTACTCTTGAAATCCGCACACAAATCTTATGCACTGAGTAAAGTCTATATTAACATTCCTATTACAAATGTTGAAACTGAAGCTCAGAAACTTAAGTATCTTACCCAACGCTATAACTAGCAGAGCCAGGGTTCAAACTGGGGGAGTTTGTCTCCAATATTTGTGCTTTTAATCACCATGCCAACATGCCTCTCATTTGTAAGTTACTTACTTACATTTGTAGCATCTTTTAGGGGAGCAATAGTTTCTAATGTTACTAAATCCTTCATCATGATTTTTAATAACTACATGTTTGCCATCAATTTGTATATCTCATTTTATTTATATTGGTTATTTAATGCAGTCATTGAAATTATTTCTGATTTCTTTTACCATATAGAACAATACTGCAACAAGCAAATTTTGCACTGCAAAGAGTTTTTTCCCTTCTTTTGAATTTTCTTATGCTGACTTTCCCTAAATGGTTAGACTGACTTAAGTAGATAAAAGTGACTTGTTATTAATATATAATGATCCATACTGTTTTCCAGACTTCATCATGATATAATGCAATGAAAGGATGCTCAGATCTTCTCTTTTCAATTAAAACATATCTGTCCTTCTCCCCCAAACACAATTTAACTGACAAAAAGTCATTCGGATTGATACTATATTTATAGCAGCACAATTTACAATAGCGAAACTGTAGAACCAACCTAGATACCCTTCAGTAGATGAATGGATTAAAAAATGTGGCATATATACACAATGAAATATTACTCAGCAATAAAAGAGAATAAAATCATGGCAATTGAAGGTAAATGGATGGAGTTAGAGAAGATAATGCTAAGTGAAGGTAGCCAATCCTAAAAAAACAAATGCCAAATGTTTTCTCTGATATAAGGAGGTTGATTCATAGTGGGGGAGGGAGAGGGAACATGGGAAGAATAGACCAAATCTAGATAGGGTAGAGGGGTGGGAGGGAAGGGAAGGTGCATGGGGCTAGAAATGATGGTAGAATGTGATGAACATTATTATCCAAAGTGTATGTATGAAGACACTAATTGGTGTGAATATACTTTGTAAACAACCAGAGATATGAAAAATTGTGCTCTATATGTGTAATAAGAATTGCAATGTATTCCACTGTCATATATAAATAAAATAATTTTTAAAAAGAATGATTCATGATGTGAGACAGTGAAATCAACAAACATTAAGTTTTTGAAATGGGCAAAATGCTTTCTCCTTTTAGCAACAGAAAAAGTAAAAATAATCCTCTTACTTATCACTTATGAAGATGACATTGTCTTGATTCTCAAAAAAGAATCAAATTCATTGGTAATTTATCAGAGCTGGATCTAAGTAGAGATCTGACTCTAAAGTCTGTATTTTAGATAATAACCCCAAAAGCTAGGGATCAATATATGTGGGGATATAAAAATTATATGAAAATATTTATTTCAAGTTTTATCAATTATTTGTTTCATAAAGGGGTAATAAATAACCTGGGATAGCTATTATAAAGAAGGATAACGATATTTTCCTCATATGTAGTTATAAACAATAATTTCAAAAACAGAAAAGGATGATATTTTTTAAAAAATATTTTTAGTTGTAGATGGATACAATACTTTTTATTTTATTTATTTATATGTGGTGCTGAGGATTGAACCCAGGGCCTCATACGTGCTAGGCAAGTGCTCTACCACTGAGCTACAACCCCAGCCCATGATGACATTATTAATTAGCAAAATGCTTCATCTGTTTCTCTCCAAACATAAATGATTTCAATGCAATCTAGTTTCATCTGTGTTCTAAGCAAGGAGCTAGAGGATATGAATACTATTTCACAATTTTTATCTTAAGTGTTAGCTTACAGCAATATATGGTATTAACAGTTTAAAACAATTGGCACCTTTATGACATAGAATAAATTTCACTGAAGCATGATAAAATAGAAACAACATAGGCTTTCACACAGACCTTAAATTCAGACCCTGACACTTACTTACTATATGCCCCCTGGAACTTTAAAGCATCAAATTCCCCAACTTCTCAGGATGCTGTGAAAAATCAAAGGAGACAACAATTACGAAGCTCTTGGCATATGGTAGACAGTCACGAAATTTTAGCTACCTTTCCTTCAATGACTGGCACACACACAATTAATCAAGGGTATCAGTTTTGTTTTGTTTTTTTTTATTTAAGGGTATCAGTTTTAAATGTCATACTTCATTACTTCCCTCAGACAAACTGTGGCATAACATGAAGCATCAAGATTAAAAGAGATCAAAAGAGATAAAGTTGATTCATCGATGTGGGAACCTTCCATTTTGACATCATGATCTCCCATTAGTTGGTATGAGAGATTATGGGCATGTTTCAAAATCTGTCTATAGCATCCTGGTATGTTCAGTTTCAGAGTAGGTACTTTAAACCTACATGTCTGTAGTCCATCTCTGCTAAGTGTTTCCTGGTACCATTGCCCTACTTGATTCTTTGGGTACTGAATATTGTATCCAAGTACGGGAAGAACCACCTGTGAATGGGAAAAAAAAAATACATGAAACAGCCTTCAGAAAGATGTATGTATGATCATATTTTACTTTTATGACTGGGACCTACATCTGTAAAAAACAGTTCAAGATGTGTGGTGTATATGTGTGTGTGTGTGTAAATATGCACACTATAGTCAGCCAACAACATGCTTTGGACACTAAACTACAATATTTTTAATGCCACCAAGTAAAGAAAAAAGCAAACTTTTTTGTGAGTCACAAATAAAGGACTCACAATAACTAAGGTGATTCCATTTACAAAGATGTGATTCTATTTATATGACATTCTTTCAAAAGCAATACCATTTGACAGAAAATAAATAAGTGGTTGCCAGGGGTTGTAGATGGGAGTGGAGGTTAACTATAAAAGTACATGGGGGCCGGCTGCAGTGGCATATGCCTGTAAACCCAGTGGCTCCTGAGGCTGAGGCAGGAGGATCTTGAGTTCAAAGCCAGCACAGCAACTCAGTGAGACTCAATCTCTAAATAAAATACAAATAAGGGCTGGAGATGTGTCAGTGGGTAGGCACCCCTGGGTTCAATCCCAATGCCAAAAAAAAGTACATAGGGAAATTTGGGTAAGAGATGAAACTATTCTTTATATTGATTTTTATGACAGTCACATGACTTTATATGCTTATAAAACATGTAGAACTGTAAAGTGAACTTATACATAAATTATAGCCTAATTTAAAAGTTTTTAAAAATTTCTCTAAAGCAGGGGGAACTGGTCAACATTCTGTCTTTAGGGAACAAGGTTTACAGTTAGATTTTAGTGACCGTGTTTTTTAAGCAAGTTTACCTGGTGTATTGTATATGTGTTAGCTGATTCCTCTTCTTCCGTCACCAGATGAACCTATTTAAAATATTTATATATATGAATAACTCCCAAATGTTAAAATTATTACCTCAAATTTCTCTAACTATTGCGTATAATTTGATTCCTATACTGAATATGCAAACAAACAAGATCTTTTCATAATTTGTCTCTGGAGACATAGACTACATAAAAACTAGAATATTTCTTCCTGCTTTAACTATTAATAACTAAAGTTGGAAAACAAGGAGAATGGTGGGTTAATCTGAACCAACAATCTTTTCCTGATTTATAAGTTGTTCTTTATTATGGTGAATCAAAACTCTGTTTCTGTAAAACAAACCCCTTTAATGCCACCAACCTCTGTCCCCAACAAATATCATAATACTCTATGCTGGTGTGGTGTTTGTCAATATTTGTTTCATAGAATAGTAATAAGTGTCACAGAGAGGAGGGAAAAAAAAGATGTACATGATGAATTCATTTTGAAAATTATTGCTATCAACATTTAATATATAATATATATCATATAATATAGTGTCTACATCCCAAGTCTACTTACCCACTGAGCCACATTCCAAGCCCTTTTTTGCATTTTATTTAGATACAGAGTCTCACTGAATTGCTTAGTGCCCCGCTAAGTTGCTAAGGCTGGCTTTGAACTTGTGATCCTCCCATACAATTCTGATTTCTCTTCTATATAAAAGTTCAAGTATAAAGGCAGCTATCATCTTGGATTTAAAGCATTCTGATATTTCCAAAATATCACATTAAAAGGATTAAAAGCATTCTGATATTTCTAGAGCAGACATCATATAATATGCTATCTACAACCCAAGTCTACTTGCTTTCCCCTCAATTTTTCCTACTCATCAGAAATTCCCCTCCTCTTTTCTCATTTTAAGTTTTTTTGTTCAATTATTGGTAAACAGCCACTTTTAACAACACTCAGAAATGATATAAAGTTCTAATGCCGAGATGTGATCTGATCAAAATACAAGGGGTAGACAAATGATACAAGACTATGATCTTTCTTGAATCAAAACTTCTAGCTTTCTGTCTTCCATAGATTCATACACATAAGTATAATCTGTCTTCCATAGATCCATAGGCATATTAAATAACAAAACAGATACAGTTGTTAATCTAGTAACCCATCAAAAGAGGAAATGAGATTAGTCCCCTATAGTTTTTAATTACAGATGTATAATATTGCATGCCCAATTATGCCATTTTTAGCAATCTTGTTCCTTTTCATCTTCATATTTTATAGTTTACCTCCTGTCATGCCTTTTCTTTTTTTTTCTAAAGAGAGAGAGAGTGAGAGAAAAAAATTTTTTTTGATATGTATTTTTTAGTTTTCGGCGGACTCAACATCTTTGTTTGGATGCGGTGCTGAGGATCGAACCTGGGCCGCATGCATGCCAGGCAAGCGTGCTACCACTTGAGCCACATCCCCAGCCCCCTGTCATGCCTTTTCTTTTGTCAGTGCTAATAAAATATAATCAATAAGATTTAAAATATATAGTCTCTTTTTTCTGTTAGCAGAAGGAAATTCTGTAATTTTTCCAGCTCCAAAAAGAAGAATAGATACAATTCTGATCACAAAACTATCCTTGCAAATGTTATTTTGAATTAAAAAAGAATGACTTAAGTAGATCAGCTTTCTCAAGTTTTTTTTATTTCTGATTTTTAATTATTTTTCTGATTTTTAATTATTTATCAGAAGATCACTTGCATATCTTTGCCCACATGATGTAACTACAAAACCTATAAAACTGCTAAATTTCTTTTTCCACAGTTTGAGAGTCTGTTTCAATCAAATAGCCATTCTTAGTAATAAGTGCTGTCCCCTGGTGATCACTTTCTTACCTAAATATTTATAAACCATCCATTTAATGAAACAGTGAAGCACACATCTGTTGTCTGGCTTGTATAACCTTTACTTCCACTTTTCTGTACTAGCACCCTCATTTTCCAGGGGATATTCTTCCAATTCTCAGATACACATTAGGTGGCATGGTCCCAGGAACACAGACTTAGTCAGATATTCCAGTCTACATTAATTTGTTTGGTATGGACACGTGACCCAGGCCAGGCCATTCCTAACCACTAAGACTCAATTCCATGGCTCCTGTACACATTGTTGGAAAAGAAAAGCCTCTTTCCTGCAGGAAAATGAATAGAGTTACGAGAAGTAAGCCTAGAGTTTCTAATAACTATCTTGCCATCAAAAACATATGCCAGGAAGAAAAGACATATTATTTAGAACACTGCTTAAGTCCCTGGATATAGCTGCATCTGAATCAATCATAACTTTCAGTCATAAGGATGAATAAGTTCCTGGTGATTTTTCCTTAAATTAGTTTTACTTGAAACTAAAACACACATCTAGAGTTTGTCATTAACTTAAATAATGCTTCCTTTATACAGAGTTCAGATCTATCTTTCCTTAATTTTTGAAAAATCAGGCCCCACAATCTAGTTCTTGATGCTGGCCCCTTTTTTATCTTCATGTAGTAGAGACCAATCTGGGTTAGGAGTCAAGAAGCAGGGTCTTTCTAGTTCTGTTACTTGTGTGACTCTGGATCTTAATTCTTATCTATAAAAAACAGTCTCACAGGTAATCCCAGTGGCTCAGAAGGCTGAGGCAGGAGGATCGTGAGTTCAAAGCCAGCCTCAGCAACTTAGCAAGGTCCTAAGTAACTCAGTGAGTTAATGTCTCTAAATTAATAAAAAAAAAAGGGGGGGGATGGGAATGTGGCTCAGTGGTTAAGCAGTCCTGGGTTCAATCCCTAGTACCCTCCCCACACAAAAAAATAGTCTCTAAAGTCTTTTTCTTCTTTAAAATTCAATTGCTCATATGATGTAATATATAAGCACTGCTCAAATCCTTTAAAACTTATTTGGGAGACTGACTTAAGATAATGCTGGAAAACAATCATTTATCCCTTTTTTATTACAATATTATAAAATAAATTTTCGCACATAATTTATGGAATCTAGTTTCATAATTTAGTTAAAACCCACAGAGATAACATACTACTTGAACAGAGAAAAAAATGAAAGGATCAACTTTTATGATATAAATAGTTATAATTTCATTAATGTAAATGTCATTAAAACATTGTTAATCTAACCACTATGGAAAACAGTATGGAGATTCCTCAGAAAACTTGGAATGGAACCACCATTTGACCCAGTTATCCCACTCCTCAGTTTATACCCAAAGGACTTAAAATTAGCACACTACAGTGACACAGCCACATAAATGTTTATAGCAGCTCAATTCACAATAGCTAAGTTATGAAACCAAGTTAGATGCTCTCCAACAGATGAGTGGATAAAGAAAATGTTGTACATATGCACAATGGAATATTACTCAGCCTTAAAGAAAAATGAAATATGGCATTTGCAAGTAAATGGATGGAGCTGGAGAAAAATCATGCTAAGTGAAATAAGCCAATCCCCTAAAACCAAAGGCTTATAAAATGTTCTCTCTGATAAGTGCATGCTTATCCATAATTGGGATGGGGGTAGAAGAGAATGAAGGAAATTTAGATTGTGTAGAAGGGAGTGAGGTGTGGGGAGGGGATGTAGGAATGGGAAGGATGGTGGAATGAGATGGACATTATTACCCTATATACATGTATGATTACACTACTGGTGAGACTCTGCACCATATACAGCCAGAGGAATGAGAAGTTGTGCTCCATTTGTATACAATGTGTCAAAAATGCATTCTACTGTCATGTATAACTAATTAGAACAAATTTAAAAAAAATTTTTAAATGTTGCTCTGAAATAAGAAACATTGTTAAGAGGAAAAAAGGCAGTTATGAAATCATATTTACATAAAATCACATTTATAGAAAAGAAACGTAATATTACATATTCTGTATATCATGATTATAAAACTTACTTTTCTTTTGACATTTTAAGTTTTGTGCTTCTAAGCCTTGCCTTTTCTTTTCTCAATGTTAACTAATGGAATAAAACCCCACTTTCTGTGGATATTTATGTAAAAGCGTGGAGAAAAATCTAGAAAGTCAAATGCCAATCAACAGAGGTTGATTTTCCAGAGACAAGGAGGGAATCAAATTAGGGTAGCTAAAGGAATGAAGCCCCAACTGCTATGTTTTGACTTTAATTTTTCTTGTTTTGTGCATTGCCCATGTGTTTTTTTTTTAAAGTCAATTCTTTAAAGGAAGTTTTAAATGGCACCATGCACCATTCTCACTCCATACCACTTACTATTTTTATTTTTCCATTTTCTTTTTTTTAAATATTTATTTAGTTGTAAATGAACACACAGTATCTTTATTCATTTTTATGTGGTGCTGGGGATTGAACCCAGTGCCTCACATATGCGAGGCAAGTACTTTACCACTGAGCCACATCCTCAACCCCAATATTTTTCCATTTTCTAACTTGTTAATCCTCAATTGACAGAGAATAGAAGCAGATGATCAAGACTAAGTAAAAATAAATAAAAAGTATGCTTAGTTTGAAAGTGTTTCCAAAATCAGAGGTTCTGAAAATTAATGTCCCTGATATGATAATTAAATCTCCTTGATGAATGATACTTACTTTAGTACTTGGAAAATGCTCATCAACATCTTCATCCAAACAGACCAAATCACCCTCCACTACTCTTGATCCATAGGTTTCAAGCCGGTAAGACGCTGCCTCATTCCAAATTTTGCTGCTATATGCATGAATATAGAATAAGCGCATGGAATGGGGAAAAGAGAACCATGCCTGGATACAACCCTCCTCTGTCATGCCAAAGCGATGTAATGCCTCCAACAACGCTCTCTCTCGAACTTTGAATTCAGGCATCAATGAAAGTGTGCCTTTAGCATCCTCTGAAATGAAAAGCAAATCAGATAGCCACTTTTATTTAAAAGCCACTATGGAGATTTTTCTTATGCTGTCTAAATGAGAGGCAGTCAACATATATATGAAGAAGACTTTTTTATTTGTTCGTTTTAGTTATATATAACATTACAATGTATTTTAATATATTATCCATACATGGAGTATAACTTCCCATTCTTGTGGTTGTACATGATGTGGAGTTACACTAGGTGTGTATTCATATATGAACAAAGGAAAGTTATGTCCAATTCATTCTACTGTTTTTCCCATTCCCATACCACCTCCCTTTCCCTCCAACCCACCCTGTCCCAATCCGGTGAACCTCCACTCCTTCCTCCTGGCGCCCTGCCTATTGTGAGTCAGCATCCACATATCAGAGAGAACATTTGGCCTTTCACTTTTGGAAATTGGCTTATTTCACTTAGATGATAGTCTACCATTCCATCCATTTACCAGCAAATGCCATAATTTCATTCTTCTTTAAGGATGAGTAATATTCCATTGTGTATATGTAACACATTTTCTTTATCCATTCATCTACTGAAGGACACCTAGGTTGGTTCCATACCTTAGTTATTGAGAACTGAGCTGCTATAAACACTAATGTGGCCTCATCACTACAATATGTTGAGTTTAATTCCTTTGGATATATACCCAGGAGTGGGATAACTGGGTCAAATGGTGGTTCCATTCAAGGTGTTCTCAGGACTCTCCATACTGCTTTCCAGAGTGGTTGCACCAAATTGCAGTCCCACCAGCAATGTATAAGTATACCTTTCTCCTCACATCCTCACCAGCATTTACTATTACTTGTATTCTTGATAATTGCCATTCTGACTGGAGTGAGATGAAATCTCAGTGTTGTTTTAATTTGCATTTTTCTAATTGCTAGTGATATTAAACTTTTTTTCATATATTTATTGACCGTTCATATTTCTTCTTCTCTGAAGTGTCTGTTCAATTCCTTTGCCCATTTATTGATTGGGTTATTTAAATTTTTTTGGTGTTAAGTTTTTTGAGTTTTTTATGTATCTTGGAGATTAATGCTGTATCTGAGGTACAGGTGGCAAAGATTTTCTCCCACTCTGTAGACTGTTTCTGTTCTTGATTGTTTCCTTTGGAATGAAGAAGTTTTTTAGTTTGATACCATCCCATTTATTGATTCTTGATTTTATTTCTTGCACTTTAGGTGTCTTGTTGAGGAATTCAATTCCTAAGGCGACATGATGGAGATTTGGGCCCACTTTTTTTTGTACTGGGAATTGAACTCAGAGGCACTCAACCACTGAGTCACATCCTCAGCCCAATTTTGTATTTTATTTAGAGACAGATTCTCATTGAGTTGCTCAGCACCTCGCTTTTGCTGAGGCTGGCTTTTGAACTCAAAATCCTCCTGCCTCGGCCTTCAGAGCTGCTGGAATTAAAGGTGTATGCCATCGCGCCTGGCTGGGCTGACTTTTGTTAAGATGATTTTTAACACTATCAGTTAAACCTAGCTATCCTTAAGACATTCATTGTATTGGCCTTCCTTTTACTTTCCTTGCTTTAAAAAAAAAAAAAAATGAAAAAATTCCAACATCAACATCAGTAACAGCTTGCCAGAATTCCTTCCTTTAGAATAGAGCTAAACTAACTTGCAGGTTATTTAGAAGACTGCCAAACAAACAGTAATAACAACAAATATTCCCAAGAATTAAATAAGCTGCTGAGCCAGTAGGAACTAGAGATTTTAAAGAGTTATTTTGGACATATACACAGAATTTTTGGAGTAAGAAAGGATTGAGACCCGGATCCTTTCAGTATACTATTAGGCCTCACTAATGAGACACTTTTTTAAAGCATAGATTACTAAGCACTACTGCAAAGATGCTCATTCAGGTAGGGCCTTATAATTGACATTTTAATAAATACACAAGGTGTTTCTCATGCACATTAAAGTTTAAGAATTATTGATATGAGAAAATTATCTTCACAGTCTCTATATCTATAGTAAGGTATAAACAAATAAGTCACCTTGAAATGTCTTTTATTATTACTTAGATTATTCATAAAGTCAAAAATATTCATACTATTTATATATTATGGTGTGACACAAAAATATTTCTCTTCTGTGAATAATTATCTATATTAATATGTATATGATTAAAAATAATGACTAGAGATTTGAAAACTGATGTCTTTTATTTCAATGTAAGTGAAATTTAGTACAAACAGGTATGTTGATTGGGTATTTGAATGAACCTGAAATGGTATGGTTGCTTTGGTTATTTTTTAAGTACAAGTACTATTTGTTCAGTATGGAGTATATGCCAGCCACTATTTTAAGGGTATCATTTAAATCTCTTAACATCTTTTAGGTAACATTATTAGCTAAAATTTATAGACAAGAAAACAAAAACAATGGAGTTAAATGGCCTGCACAAGATCACACAGGTGGAAAGTACTTAAGTGAAGAGTGAAGTCCATGCCTTTTGACTGCAGCCTCACTCATTGCCACTTTTCTTCACTGCAGCCTATTAAGAGTTTTATGTATACACCATAACATTAATCTAAAATTATGAAGGCTGAGAATCAGGAATATTTTACAACTAGATCAAAAACAATGCATAAAGTATTAAACATCAAAAATGAACTTTTAATTAGATTATGTTTCAATTCTTCACTGATTCTAATGAATTACACTGCCATCAGTACCATTTAAAATTTGGACCTCCTCTCTGCAGAGGATTTCAGCTTAGAAAAACAAAAATACCATCTTATATTATATATCAATACGGCTATGTATGGGATAAAGAAACTAACATACCAGTTTGAAGAAAATATTTCTTTGCTCTATTTACAGGATCATCCAAGTCTTCTGGTGTAAGAAATAATTTTATGGCCTTCACCTTGAAAAAAATCAAACAAACAAATATATATTTAATGAAAATCTCAACTTACTTTTTTAGAAACAAATTTAAATTCTTGGACACCCTAGTAGGATAGGCATTTAATGAATGATATTTGATGCTATAATTTTCTCTGGAGGCTTTCAAAAGTTAATAGTCAATGTTAAATAAACCTCCAAAATGAACTAATTTTATATTTAGGTTTAAAACACTATAGACTGGGAAAAGTGCCCCCTCCCCCAATCACTTCCATAATTCTTCTTTTGTCATTCTTTTCCTAAATTGAGATGTGAACACAAATATAAAGTAATGACATAAATATTCAATACACACAACAAAATAGGGAAGGAAGCAAGTACAGGGAAATGGCATGCCATTGATTTCATTTCATTTGTGTTCTCAATTCCCTGAATTTCTTGGTCTTAAAAATAACTGCCAAAATCTTAATGAAAAGATTCTCAATTTTAATATTTTATTTTAAATTTAAAAATGACATCTACTCAGTTCCTATATTTTACCACTGTCAACAGTACTGAGATTTATTTGTAGTATATATCTTAGAGTAAAAAGGGATCTTAAAAGAGGTCATTCAACCCAATCTCCCACTCAAGCTTCTTTTATAGTATTCAATCATTCAAAAAAAAAAAAATCAAAGCTCAAAATTTTTTTTGACATATGGAATCTAAACCACAATAAGGGGGTGGGGGAAGAAAGAAGTTCAGTACCTTAGATAAAGGGGAATGAAGAGAAGGACGGGGAAACAGGAATAGGAAAGATAGTGAAATGAATCTGACATAATTTTCCTGTGTACATATATGAAAAAACATAAGTGACACCCACCCTTGTGTACATCCACAGAATGGGGTCCTAATTAGAATAAGACATAAATGTGCATGTATAATTTTACCAACAGAGTCTACTATCATGTAAAGCTAAAAAGAATAGATTAAAAAATTTTTAAAGAATAAAGTGGTAAATAGGAAAATAAATATTTAAAAAAATGGAAAAGGAAAAGAGAACCAGAGCATTAAAAGTTCAATTGAACTTTTTAAAATATATATATTTAGTTTGTAGTTTGTAGGTGGACACGATATCTTTATTTTATTTTTATATGATGTTGAGGATCCAACCCAGCGCCCCGCGCATGCCAGGTGAGTGCGCTACCGCTTGAGCCACATCCCCAGCCCCTAAATATATTTTTGATAACTTTATTTACTTTTTTTTTTTTTTAATGTGGTGCTGAGGATCGAACCCAGTGCCTCACTCATGCTAGGCAAAAGCTCTACCACTGAGCTACAGCCCCAGCCCCTCAACTGAACTTTTCAACAATCATCTGCTATGGGTCTGGCTTTCACAAAAGCTATATCCTTACTTCTCACAAAAATCTTGTGCTATACATGTTATCTCTATTTTACAGATAAGGAAACCTAGGCTCAGGAAAGTTAAATAGTCTCCCTATAGCAACACATTTGACAAATGGTGGAACTTAAGTAGAATGTATGCTGTATCTTATAAATCCCAAACATCTCTTCTTTCATACAACAAAATTTCAAATATTTTGTGTTAATTTTCTCTTCAGAGTTTTCCAGACTGAAGCAATACCATTTGTTAAACATTTTTCATGAATATGGCTTCTGGATCATGCTTTAGGGTATCAGTTATTTTCTAGTTGTTAAAGTCCTTCCTAAAATGTGAGGCCCAGAACTGAATACAAATTTACAGATGTGGTATAAATATACTGCTGTTAGCCATACTTCCATATATAAGATGATGTTTAATGCGCAATGCTTCTCAGAAGTTTTGCTGCTTTTCTCTTCCACTCAAAACATTAGAACACAAATGAGTGAGCATTACACCATCATATGAATAATCTTGTATTTGTTCAAATGTACAATTTTTATTGTGCACTCCATTCCAATGTAAAAATATGTGAATATATAACATGTAATTTATAAGTATAAATATATATTAAAGTTACATATATACAAATATATGTGTGTGTACACACACACAGACTTTTAACTGGTGAAATGCAGCTTCTGATTTGTGACATACATTTTTATTTTCATTTGAGACTAGTCAGATGTTGTTTTCAAATTTGTTGTTTCACTTTTAGTCTTTGGACTTTCTTTTATATGATTTGTGCGCTAGTCAGCTTTTTGTCGCTATGACCAAAATATCTAACAAGAACAACTTAGATAGTCAGTCAGTTTAGCTCACAATTTCAGAGGCTGTCTATGGTCAGCTAACTTCACTGCTTTGGATCCAGGGTGAAACAGAATGACATGGCGGCAGGGAGTAGCAGAGGAGTGCTGCTCTGCTCATGGTGGTCAAGAGGCAGAGAGAAAGGGGGAAGGGGCCACAGGGAAATTGAACCATTTCAGGGAATACTCTTAGCTATACCCCTCCTGTCTACAGTTACCACCTAATCAGTCTGTTCAAATAAGGATAGACTGATTATGGTACAGCTTCACAATCCAATCACTTCCCCTCTGAATATTTCTGCATTAACACAGGAGCTTTTGGAGGATCCCTCATATCAAAACCATAGCAATCTGATACCTGATTTCTGTATGTATAGGGTATGTTTCCTTTAAATCTTCTATTCGGTTCACTAAGAATTGAAGGAGTGTTAATTCTTTGCCAAGTCTCAAATGAGTATTATTAAGGTACACAACATGTGGTTTGCTTCTTTATAACATAATATCAAGAAAACAGTAATTGTTTAATAAATGTTCAATAAATATAATCTATGTGTGTATAAGTGTTCATAAGCTAAGGTTAAGAAAGCAAGGGGCTGGTTTATGTGATAAGTATAGATGACTCAATAGATAAGATTATATTTTCAAAATCCATACCATTTCATTCTTCAGCAAAGCCAATCCAATTTGGTCTGTATGAACTTTCCTTCCCTTCCCAAATCTCTGTGGTCCATAGTAATTCACGAAACCTTTATTCTATAAATACAAAATAGTCAATAAATTCAAAATAAATAAATATAATCATTGCATCAAAAATTTACCATAATCAAATGTTTTTCATCATATTTATTTTTTTAAATCCTGTAATCAGTAATATGTACTCAGGGAGCAAATAACTAGAAAATTAAAAGCACATAAGACCAGTGGAAAAAGCTTAAAAAATATGTCAGCTTCCCATTCACAATACTGAGGATTTCCTAGGACATGCAACTTTCACTGTTAAAGTCAGGAAAGTTCAAAGAAAACTGAAATGACGTTGGTTACCTAACAATAGGATCTGATCTCACCCTTAGGTTCTTTCTTATTTTGGACTCTTCTGCTGTTAGGAAATGTTAGGAACAAGAAATATTTCTTTTCAAACCTCACAAGTCTTGACTCATTTATATATTCATTTATTATTTAGTTTGACTAGTTTCTTAAAAGCTGCGCCAACAAAATGCCACGATATCACTCCAGCAGTACTCTAGCTTAAGCCAACATAGCACTTAGATTCCAGGGTGGAGCACAGAAATCACCTTTTGATGGAGGTGAATTTTGATGCCATGTTTCCAAACTGCCATAGTACTCAGAAGAAAACAGTAATTTACTGCTCCAAAGTGTATGTATTCAGCCAATAATTATTGTTGAACAACAGCTCAAAACTATTCAGTAAAACATGCTAAGATAATTTATTATCAGTATGATACAAAAGGAACTCCATCTTTATGTCATGTACAAAATCAACTGTAGTAGATTAAAGACTCTACATTAAATCTCAGTTGAATATTTTTAATTATTTCAAATTTGAATAAACTAATATCAGACAATAACTTAGAATGACCAGGATAATTTTAACTTTCCCTCCAAATTACTTAAATATAATAAAAGGTTGATAGCAATCAGTTATTACTATCTGAAGAAAACTTTAAAGACTCCTTATTTTCAAGGCTACTCAACTCTCTTATTTGATTATGAGAATTAAAAGAAAGCTGACTATTGGAACATTGGGAATGGAACCACCATTTGATCCAGCTATCCCACTTCTTGGTCTATACCCAAAGGACTTAAAAACAGCATACTACAGGGACACAGCCACATCAATGTTTATAGCAGAACAATTCACAATAGGTAAACTGTGGAACCAAACTAGATGTCCTTCAGTCGATGAATGGATTAAAAAATGTGGCATATATTTATACACAATGGAATATTACTCAGCAATAAAAGAGAATAAAATCATGGCATTTGCAGGTAAATGGATGGAGTTAGAGAAGATAATGCTAAGTTAGCCAATCCCAAAAAAACAAATGCCGAATGTTTTCTCTAATATGAGAAGGCTGATTCATAGGGAAGGAGAGGGAACATGGGAGGAATAGACCAACACTAGATAGGGCAGAGGGGTGGGAGGGGAAGGGAAAGTGCATGGAGTTAGAAATGATGGTGAAAAGTGATGGTCATTATCATCCAAAGTACAGGTATGAAGACATGAATTGGTGTCAATATACTGTGTGTAAAATCAAAGATATGAAAAATTGTTCTCTGTATGTGTAATAAGAATTGCAATGCATTCCACTGTCATATACAAATAATAAATAAATAAACAAAATTTTTTAAAAAATTAAATTTCACTTAGGTATATAAATTGAAAATCATTGTTGGTGCAATGCAACTCTCTTCACCTTTGTAACTGTTTTAACAGTATTACTCCTTTCTTAATATGTAAGAGAAATTGACAAGTTTATAATATTGTCTTTTTAAACCAAAGCCTTACGCTTTGGGAAATAAATCCTGGAACATAACTCAATAAAAAAAAAGAAAAAGAAGAAGAAGAAGAAATAAAAAAGCTGGCTAAGCCACTCTTTTGACAGAGGATATATAAAGACATCAAAAAACTTTACACCAAAAAATCAAATAGTCCAATTAATAAATGGACAAATGAATTAAACAAACAATTCTCAAAAGAAAAAATATAAATGGCCAACAAATACATGAAAAAATGTTCAACATCATTAGCAATTAGAGAAATGCAATCAAAATTTTACTGAGATTTCATCTCACACAAATCAGAATGGTAGTCCAAGAATACAAATAATAGTAAATGCTGGAGAGGATGCAGAGAAAAGGAACACTTTTGCACTACTGGTGGGACTGTGAGTAAACTACTATAGAAATCAATATGGAGGCTCCTCAAAAGACTAGGCATGAAACCACCATATGACCCAGCTATACCACTCCGTGGTATTTATCCTGAAGAATTAAAGTCATATTACTACAGTGATAACATGCATACCCATGTTTATAGCAGCATAATTCACAATAGCCAAACTATGGAACCAGCCCAGGTATCCATCAATAGATGAATGGATCAAGAAAATGTGGTTTATATACTCAATATATAAATGTGGTTTATATACCCAATACGTTTTATTCAGCCATAAGGAAAAATGAAATTCTGGCATTTGCTGGAAAATGGATGTTAAGCAACATATGTGAAACTCAGAAGGTTAAAGATTGTTAAGGATTGTTTTCTCTCATATGCAGAAGCTAGAGAGGAAAAAGGAAAAGAAAGATGGGAGTGGATCTCCTAAAATCAAAGGGAGGTCAGTAAAGGAAAGGGACCAGGGGATCACAGTTGGGAAAAGAGGAAAGTGCTGTGGAGTGATATTGAACAAATTATGTTCGAGGATTATATTTTGTACATATATAAATATATAACAACAAATCTCATCAATATGGACAACTTATAACACACCAGTAAAAAAATGTAGAGCTAGGTATGGTGGTACATGCCTGTAATCTTAGCAGCTCAAGAGGCTGAGGCAACAGGAACACAAGTTCAAACGCCAGCCTCAGAAAATTAGGGAGGCCCTAAGCAACTCAGTGAGACCCTGTCTCAAAAAAACAAAAAGGGCTATGATGTAGCTCAGTGGTTAAGTGTTCCTGGGTTTAATCTCTGGTACCAAGAAAAAAAAAAAAAAAGCAAGCAAACTGGCTAAAGCTAAGATTACTTCTAATGGAAATTTTATAATACATAGTTGTATCTTCCTAAGTACCACTGGATGACTAGTAATAAATGTTATGGGAGTTCAGTGAATTCCCCCCATTTTTTAAAAGACATATCATTTTAGAAATAGTTTTTTAGGAAAAACAGAATTTTTAGATAGATCAGTCATGGAAAAAGATAAAACGTATAGAATATATAGTCAGAGAATTCCTACACCTATGTGACAGTGCTAAATTTAAAAACTCTTTAGTTGAAATATATTTTCTAAGGCAGCTAAAAACCATGCTTTGTTTGTTTTCCTATTAGAGAAATATAAAATTATGCAAAAAGATCTTTGTGGTCAGAACTTGGATCAATGTCTTTCTATGTTAGCTACAGAGTAGAATTACTTAAGAAGCTGTTTAAAAATACCAATGCCAGGGGAAGAGAGAGGGAGCATGGGAGGAACAGATGAACTCTAGATAGGGGAGAGGGGTGGAAGGGGAAAGGAGGGGGCATGGGAATAGAAATGATGATGGAATATGATGGTCATTATTATCCAAAGTACATGTATGAACACAAAAATTGGTGTTAATATACTTTGTATAATCCAGAGATACGAAAAAATTGTGCTCTATATGTGTAATAAGAATTGTAATGCATTCCACTGTTATATATAAATAAAATATAACAGACATATAAAAAATAATAAAATATCCACATAAGAAAAAAATACCAATGCCAAAGCCACACCCCAAATGTTCTTATTTAATTGACTTAAAAGTAGAAATTGATTGTTGAAATTTTTTTAAAGTTCCCCAGTATGAGAACTACTCTCAATTAGAATTTGGCAAACCACTAACGCCCACAGGTCACACTTGGCTCAACGCTCATTTTTAAAAATGAACTTCTATACACATGTTCATTCAGTTATGTATTTTCTATGACTGCTTCTACACAAGTCCAGTTGATTAGCTGCAATAAGAACCATATGCTTACAAAGCCAAAAATATTTATTACTGGCTCTTTATAGAAAAATTTGTGGATGCCCTAGTCTAGACGATTAAAGACTGTGGTTGTATGTGCATATTTAAATAACTGGCAGATGTCACTTAAAAATTTAAGTAATTTTTTACTGTAAGACATAATAAAATGTGCATGATTTATTTTTATATATTGAAGAAAATTTTAAATCAAATTAAAAAGAAAAAAAATTATGTATAACTTTGAAAAGTAATTAACTATTTAACAAAGATTTCTAAAAGAATTACTGAAAGAATTTTCCAAAAACTAAATAAAATAATAAAGAAGATTCTAAAAAAAAAAAAAAGAAAGAAAGAAAAGAAAAAAAGAAAGAAAGAAATCTCTTTTTAAGCAAGAGATTGTTCTCCTTTCTCTAAGGGATCTCCATATACTGTATTTTTAAAATTATATTTATGTTATTTTAATAAAACTGAATTAAGAAGAACACAGAAAACAAGCCAAATAACCCTATCATTTTAAAAATAATTATGCACGCATATAAAAAGGTACAGAAGGTTCTGTTCTCACTTCAATGTAAAAAGAAGGACTATGAAGGTTTTCCTGTGATTCTCTATTTAAAAATTGAGTTTTCTTACCTTAACATTTTCTATCGCCTCAAAAATTCTCTCTCTCAAATTTACAGAATCATTTATTTGATTTTGTAAATTTCTGACGACAATATCAAAATGATTTCCTTTGAGCTGTCCAAGTCTAAGGGGCTTGCCAACAGATCGAATATTAAACACATTCATTCTTTTCTTTTCAATTTCTTTTTCAATATTTTTCAACCTGCAAATGATAAATTATATAGACTTGATTGAATCTTACATTTAAAAATTACTTTAATATAAGATTTGAAATGATAGTTGCCATGTAATTCCTTATACCAGAATAATACTTATACAGTATTTTTTCTGGAACATTCTAAAGTTAATGTTATTTCAACAAGTAATATGCACTAGTCACTATGATAGACTACTAAAAGAAGTAGTCCTATTTAGGAACTTGTACATGTATTACTTACTAATGCTATCATGGAGTACGTATGCAGAACTTCTGACTTCTCCTTAGTTCAAATGATAGGTGTTGATGTTTCCCCTGATCTGGACTTTGCTCCTTTCCTTGTCAGTCCCTTTCCCCAAAATTATCAAGAAAACCACTAGCACAGAGAATTTTCCTGAAATTCTGTTTTGAACACTTCCTTACTCAAACTTTCAGTTCTTACTCAACACCTAAAGTAGATCTCAGCTTTCTTAGAATGAATTTTAACATTCTGAAGGAGCCAATGTAAATTTTTTTTTACCTTCATATTCTGTAGTCTTTATAAAATTATGTTTTATTAGGAAATTGTTTATTTTATTATCCCTCCATATATATCTCTAGGTTTCTTGCATCTACTAAAATCCTGCTATTACTTGGAGAGTAATTAAAACCCCATACCATGAGACAAATGAAAGCAATCCCTCTTGACAGAAACTAATAACATTTGTTTTCTTTGGTAGTTAAAAACTAGCTTTTTTCTCAAAGGTCCAAAATCTAAAGTCTTTCTTTCTTACTTATACTGTATTTCTTGACCGCAAAATCAAAAATCACAATTTTTTATCTCTTATACAAGGAGCTCAGAAGAATTTAGACAAGTCTACTTGTAAATAGGTGAATACTTAAATATCTGATGAATAAGGATTAAAATATTAATATTACATCAAATTAGGCTGAATTTTGACCCAATGATTCAACTTTTTGATTCTGTCTTGAGGAAAGTACACATGAGGTATAGATTTCAGTATAAAAATATTAATCATAGTACTATTTATAATAAAAAAATTGAAAGAATTCCTATTTCCAAAAATAGGCAACTGTTAATAAATCTGTATCACGGACATGATTTTGACATATTTGATGACATAAATTTTCATATAATTTAATTATTTTATTTTGAAAAGTAAAACATAAACTGCATATGTAATACAACTTTCATATATATAATAAATATATGTGTGATATGAATACATGGTAGAGTCTGAAAAATATCTTAAAAGAAATAAATCAAAATGTTTATGCTAGTTATGTCTTAGAATAATCAGTGATTTAATTTATTTTTATTCTTTTTTCTACTTTCTAAATGTATAATAAATTTTTTTGCAATTACAAAAACTTTTAAAAACTTGATTAAGCTAAAGGGAAGCTAATTAGAGTATTTTATACTTAACAAGGATTATTCTAAATAAGGATAATAAAGTTATAAAAGTATTAAAAAATTAGGAAAAAATTATTCATGATACTTTCCTGAATATAATTCATATTTGAATATAGTACAGAATATTTAGAAACAATTTGGACAATTTAAAAATTGTCACTTCTCAGTTTTATTCTAAAACTTCCAATATTTTCAATGGAAAATTGAGACAAAACTCTATGTAGAAGACAATTATATGTATAATACAGAGTATTCTGGTCTATAATAAATTAATTAATGTTGATAGGTTAATCTACTTATAATAATACCTTATTACCTCTCTGGAGTCACTTTTCTCACAACCATTGCTTGATAGGTGATGGCTTTCTTGTCTTTAAGGCCTGCATAAGTAAAATCCGAAGGAATCACACCAAGTTTGATAGCTAAAAAACCAACTGCTTCAAACATCTCCAGATTTTCCTTTCGTAGGGTAAAAGCTAAAACACAAATTATCCTAGATTATTAAAAAAGTAGCTACCACATATCTATGACACTCTTACCAGACTATACAGATCAGGATAATGAACCAATTTAGATAAAGAACATTTTTAATTGAAATACAAAATCAGTATCATAGATTTCATCTGTTATTTTTTTAAAAGGAGTTGGCTCATTGATGGTCTACAAATAAAAAATAATAATAATCCAAATCCCTTAACCTGTCATTCATACCTGGCACAAATTTAGCTTTTCCATCTCCATATGTACCCCTTTCATTTGTGTACCCTATAATTTTGACACAGAGAACTTCTTTAATCCATGGCTAGACTAGAGCCTTCCACAGTTCCTTACTTTTTGTACAAGTCTCTCTGTCTAAATCGTGTTCCTTCCATATATTATTCATCATACTTTTTTTTATTCTTCAGGATCTAATAACAGCAGCATCTCTCCCTCAAATTCTTTTCAGGTTCCAAGGTAAAATGCTCCCAAAAAAACAGATTATTCTTATTTTATTAACTATTATATTCAATGACTGGTAGTTCTAGGCTAGCAATCCAATTTAAATTTTGTACAATCACATTCATTGTAGGAGATTAAAGACTAGGGTTCAATATGTCATATATATTCCTGATAATCTTGGGGATGTCATTAGGAAAGGTAAGCCATGTAAGAAGGAATCCCCAACTCAGTTTGTTGCAAATTAGCCTAAGGAAACAAGCACTTTTCGTTCTTTCTTTTTTTTTTTTTTTTTTTTTTTGGTGCTGAGTATTAAACCCAGAGCCTTGTGCATGCAAGGCAAACACTCTACCAACTGAGCAATATCCCCAGCCACAGGAAATAAGCACTTCTGTATCTATGATTATTTGGAATTTCATTTAAATATTTTAGAGAATCAAATCAATGATATTATCACATCTACACAGAAGTTTATATACTTGAATTTAAGACAATGAGACTTTTAGTTCCAATTTAAAATAATCTAATTAAATTTATCTTTCTACACAGAATCTTATTGAAGTAACACAAAATGGGAACACTTATAAAAACTTAAACGTCACTAAATTTATAAGATATATAACTTTTTCTTATTTGTGAAAAATGAAGCATTACAAAGAAAATCAATGATACTAAATTTTAAAATTTAGTTTCAGACTTCCACCTTGAGCTATGTTGGAATCATGAATACCAGCCCATTGTAAACAATTAGAAAACTGAACAAAACATATAAAACAGCTGTTTTTGGAAATTGAATAACAGTGGTCACATGAGTTGAGTCCTGAAATGCTGCTGGTTTTCTACTTAGAAATAATTTCTGGACCACAACACATGGAGGTAGAATCCAAATAGAATAGAATAGTCTTGCTGAATTAAAAGGGTAAAGAGACTGGAGTTCAGGAAGGCTAAGTGAGCTGGAATTCACCGGGCAGAGTTCCAGATTTCCAGAAATCAGAATAGGTAATCCCTTGAGTTTGTTGCTGATTAACAATTTGTATATATCTAGGGTTAAAGGCTATGTATTATTAATCTAATGTTGCATAACAAGTAACCCCAAACCTTAGTGGTTTACAATGTTAATATATCTCTCATGGTTACTATGGGTCAGGAATTCAAGGGCATCTCAGTTGGGTGGATCTAGCTTAGGTCTCATGAAGTTCTAGTTAAATGTAGCTAAGGCTACCATGACTTAAAAGCCTAAGAGGAACTGAAGAATCCATTTCTAAAGAGAATCACTCACATGGTGAGCAAGTTTGTGTTGGCTGTTGGTGAGAGGGCTTAGTTAGTTCCTCTACAATGGATGGCTTCAGTATCTTACATTATAGTAGCTGGTTTTCCCCAGAGTAAGCAATCCAGGAAAAATGGACCAAAAAAAGTATAATACTTTTACGATCTAGCTTCAAAAGTCATATCATACACCACAATTACTGTCCTGTCCTATTGGTCACTCAGGCCAAACTGTGGCAACATAAGGAGGATTGGCACACTGAGAGTATCATGAATGCTGAAAAGTAAAATCCATGCTCTGAATCATATTTAATTTCCAATCCTATTCAAAATATACATATTTTCTATGGCCCCAAAGAATCATCCTATTACATCAGCTCAAATTCTAGGATCTCTACATCTACATCAAATTCAGAAACAAATAGGGCACAAGTTGGGTATATTTTCTTTTGAATTTACATCCCCAAATACAAAGGATATAATATAAAGGATACAAAGAACTGTGAAAGAAAACATAGATATATTTAATATAAAGGACACAAAGAACTGTGAAAGAAAACATAGATATTTTCACACACCTCAATATGTTGGGACACACATGGCATAAGCACTCTGGATTCCACATTCAAACTGTAATTATGAAGAAGTCACTGATCCTTAGTAATTCCATGCTAGCTAAGTAAATGTTAGTAGTCCCTTTATTAGAATTTAGTACTATCAATGTCTAGGAATTTGTTAATGGCTCTTACATTTACCTCTGGTTCTTAGTTCTGGGAGGAAAAAAAGTATTTTTCCATAAATGTCTATTTGTAGCAAAGTAGTTTTCCCACACTAGTGACTGCCTTTGCAAGTTTGGGAGTTCAAATACCTCTTTATTTAGTACTTACTGTCTGACCCTTTAAAAGAACTGTATGGATCTTCTTTGGATTTACTCCCTTAGACAAAAGATACTCAAATTTATTAAGAAAAGACCTTTCCTACTTTGGGCTAAAGCTGCAGAGATATATTTCCCCTAAAAATCCTAGAACTACTGTTTAAACAAGAGTCCAAGAATTACACTTTTAGAATCCTTAGAAGGCCTCTGTCTGTCTGAACTACTCTCTAAAGCATTATTACAAATCTTTCTAAAATTTTAACAAAATGATTTTATAATCACATCTAGATTTCCTTCTTAGAGCATGCTGTCTGGACCTTGCCTGGAAGCCATTTCTTAATTTAAACATCATGTGCTACTTGGAGTGATTGGAAATTTAAATATATATGCATAGAATTTGCTTGTATTTTTTTTTTTTTTTTGGACACAGAATATCCAGTTCCTTTATATGTGACTATTTTTCCATTAGAATTTTACTATAAGCAGTAAAAAGCCAGTTTACATTTCAATATTTGCCTGGAAATCTTTGAGCATTCCTTCAAGAGATACATTTTCTGCTTTCCATTTTAACTAAAGATTTACACAATGTTAAATTTTCTGGCACTATATAACAAGGATCCCTTTTGTCTTGATTCTAACATTTTACTGTAAACTATAATAATCCCTTTTCATAATAGGGACATTCAAACTTCTGCCTAAGAATAGGTACCTACAAGTTTTAGGCTTTTGTTATAGAAGCAACCATTTCTGGTACCAAAATCACTATTAACTTCTGAATACTGCACTAAAACTTAGTGACATAAAATAATAATAATCATTTATCATCTGTTATGTACTGAGTATATGTATATCCTCAAAGTTCATATGCTTAAGCCCCAAACACCAGTATGGCCAATTTGGAGATGGGGTCTCAAATGAAGTAATTAAAGTTAATGAGGTCATCATGGTGGAACCCTAGTACAATAGGTTTAGCATCTTTATAAGATACAACACAGCATTCTCATTCTCTTCCCTCAAAAGCACACAATGAAGGGCTGGGGTCATAGTTCAGTGGTAGAGAATTTGCTTAGAATGTGTGAGGCACTGGGTTCATTTCTCAGCACTGCATATAAATAAATAAAATAAAGGTCCATCAACAACTAAAAAATATTTTTTAAAAAATGAAAAGGACATGTGAGAGAGAAGGTGCTGATCTGCAAACTAAGGAGAGAACCAGACTCTAACATTACTGCACCTTGACCTTTATCCTGGACTTCTTCTAGACGAGAGCTCTATAATGGTCACAGAGTAAAACCTACTGTAAATTCCCCTTTAAACTTAAAATGAAACCTCAAATGAATCTGCAAAATACTTTTTACTTAACAAAACAAAGTTCAACTGCTTTAAAAGAAGACAACACAATTCAGATACTCAACAATGCAATAGCACAATTTTGGGCCTCTAAAAAAAGTATTAGACATGTGAAGAAGCATAAACACATGACCCATAACCCAAATAAAGATCAGTCCATGAAAGAGAGGAAATTAGTAAACATTTTTAAGGCTCTATCAAAAATAAACTCAAAGATTAAAGGAAAGCACAAACATAGTGAGGAAATTCAAGACCTACAAGTCAAATGAATCCTCTAGAGATGGAAAATAAATATCTAAAATGAAATTTTCATTGGATGCTTAAAGTCCAATATTTTTTACTAGTATTTCAAAAAAGTGTCATTGAAAAATGGCAAAGCAATTTCTCAAAATATTAAACACAGAATTACCATATAACCTAATAATTCTACTTCTATGTATATACCCCAAAGAACTAAAAAGGCAACTTGAATATAACCATATTCATAGCAGCATAATTCACAATAGTCCAAAAGTGGAAATGACCCTATCCATTGGCAAATGAATGAACAAACAAAATGTGTTATATACATAATGGAATATTATTCAGCCTTAGAAAAGAAAGAAAATCTAACACATACCTCAATATGGATGAACCTTGAACACATTATGCTAAGTAACACAAACCTTCATTTAATAAGTATGGAGTGTCACCCTGGGAAGATGACAAAATTCTGGAGACAAATAGTGGTGATATTTGTGCAACAATGTGAATGCCCTTACCATTGAACTATACACTTAAAAATAATTAACATGGTTTTACCACAATTAAAAATTTTTTAAGGATTTTTTTTTAAAAAGGATCCAGGTTTTATATAGATCTAGTTATTAAATATTTTTACCTTTTGATTCTCATAAAGCATTGCCTAAGCAAAAATATGGAGTAGGCAAAACTTATCTTTGTCTCTCTCTTTGTTCTTGGGCTTGTAGGTATCCCAGCACCTTCATATTATCCTCAGGCAAACCATTAATTCTTCTTTTAATATATCCCTCCAACCATTCATAGCTTTACAAAATTTATTTAAATTAATATAAAAAGTTTCCACATTTGACTCATTAACTCAAATTAGTACTATTAGAATTTCAATTAGTATTAAAAATAAGAATTCCTAGAGCTGTTTAAATCACTTAACAGCAATTCTTCTCCCTACATATAAAGTTAATATTGTTTTTCCTTCATAATAGACTTATCTGCTAATATTTATTGCACGCCTGATATGTCAAATTCTATGTGAGCAGCTTTATCTTGGGAAAGTCAAGTCACACAACTAGACAGAAATTACCAAGAGAGAAAAAGATGCTAACGTTTAAGTAATTATTATATACTAAATAATTTCATGAGTTTCATTTAATCCTGAGAATATTATTGTAAGGTTTTACTACTATCCCATTTTTAAAGTACACTTAAAAGTTATGAATTGTGCCAGGCATGGTAGTGCACACCTGTAATCACAGTGCTTTTGGAAGCTGAGACAAGAGGTTCTGAAATTTAAGGGCAACCATAGTGGCATCTTAGCAAGACTCTGTTGCAAAATAAAAAATCAGAAAGGCTGGGGATATAGTTCAGTGATACAGCATCTCTGAGGTCAATCCTCAATACTGAGGAGGGGGAAAAAAAAGATATACATTGTTAAAATAATTTGCCTATATATTATTTCCATTTTCACATTTAAGGAACTTAAATCGTAAAGATATTTAAATTTCATGAATATTTTTGTGAACTAGAGTCATAATGAAAAGTTATACTCACATAACTCAAAAATCCAAACTCTTTTTCATTTATAACACAAAGTATGTACATGGTACATAATCCTGTTTCTGTGCCACATTCAACCATGCAAACTTGGGTTACTGGTCTTCTTTTAAATGATTCACTAAGTAAATTTGTAAAACATGACCATATGAAATACTTTCCAATCTTCGAACAGGATACAGACCAATTAAACTTTGTCAGCTAGAATTGTACAGTGAGATTTCATCAGTTTCATCCGTCCTAGGAATTCTATACATCCCCTAAAACAGTGATTCTAAAAACGTAGTCCCCAAACCAATAGATAAAGTATTAGTGAAGGATTTGTAAAGTCCCCCTCCAACCCTTCTGAATCACAAATTGGAATGGGACTCAAAAATTCATTTTACCAAAAATTTCTGATGATTAAAATGCATGCCAAAATTTGAGCACATCCTAGAGAAGACTGACAGAGCCCAGTTTTAGGAGTCTTTACCATGGGTAGGGAAGTTTAATTGTTTTGGGTTATGGGGGGTTCTTTTCAACTTTTCCAAACATAGCAAACAAATTTTTCTTATCTCCAAAAACTTAATTTTAATTGATGTTCAAAATGTGAAATCAATAAAACTTTCTGAGCACAAAACAATGGTTTCAACACGATACAATTGAGACTATGTTAACTATAAACATCTTTATTACCCAAGTTTTCAGGCTAATTTTTACACTAATATAATTTGGAAGGATTCATCTTCCTTTAAGTAACAGACCAATATATTTTTTCCCAGAATCTCTCTAGCCATGTCTATTCAATTCATTGAAGGTATTCAGCTTCCACATAATTTTAAATTTAAGTAAGCTTATCCAAGACATGATTTTTTTATTTAGTTACCTGTATATATCACTTTTCTTTCCTGGCATTCAAGAAGAGATCTTTTCTTGTGCTTTGTTTTTTCCCGAAATCTTACTGTTATTACTACATTTGGATCACAAGCACTGTAAGTCTGTTCAGGAAAAGATTTGGTTTCCACAAGGTTTCCAAACTTCTTATTGACAAAATGGTGGACAGCTTTTCTGTGGTCTTTGTTTGCATCAGGTTTAAAGGTAAATTTGGAATTTTCTTTCTTTGCATCCAAATACTTAAAAAAGTCAAGTGCTTCTTCTTCAGATACCAAATGGCAAAGTTCTTTATACTCAAGATTTGGTTTTATAACAACTTCACTGTTTTTTCCTACAGTTATTAAGAAAGGAAATTTCTGCCTAATAGCACTGTGTAAAATAGCCCTTTGGTTTTTGTCAAGGATCCTGCCTAATGAGAATTCAGGAGATGGCCCAATTAGCTCAGTTTCTGAATTCCATTTCTCTTTTACATCACAGGCAAACTGATTCAGTAATTCATTTGTTTTTTCATCTAAAAAGAAGTTTAATACATCATCATTTTCTTCTTCACAGTTGAAAGCCCTATCACTGATGGTATCTTCTTTTTCTGAATTAGATTGATGATTTTGGTCACCATCAGAGCACCTAGACAAAGTATTAAGTTCTTGGTAACTTCCATCTTCAAAGGACAAATTTTGAAGATCTAATTTTGGCTTTTTGGCAAAACTATTCAGCTCAGGTATTTTACTAACTGCATTAATTGGTTCATCAATGGCTTTATTAACTAACTGTCCTTGTTCATCAATCTCAATAACAATAAAGTCACCTGGTGAGCTTTTTATAGTACCCTGAAATCCAACATGCTCATTGATGAAACACAAAGAACTAAACCTGATTCTATAATGTGTATCCTCTTCCATTCTTCAATAATAACGCCTACAAAAGAAACAAAAAGACAATTAGTTAATCAGAAAGAGAAGTTGTGGCTAACAAAAAAGGGAAAAGGTTTGCAAGATGTACATAGATCTGTGTTCCTTTCAATCCTGAGTCCCCTTAGATGACATTAACAATTTATGACTATAAATCATGTGTATTTGACCCATTTTTGGCACAATTAGTGATTTATAAATTGATTTTCATTCATTTTAGTCTTCTGCCTACTATCCAGAATTAAAAAGGATCAATTTCAAGCTTACCAAAAAAAAAAAAAATATATCTGTAGGTCCACAAAGAAAAGACAAGTACAATGATTTGTCCAGTCCCACCTCTGGAGCCTAAAACTTGCAACTAATTCCAGAGAAATAACAGCTAGATTTTATATATTAGAAGTTAAAATAGGAGAGGGGACAAGATCAAAAAAAAAAAAAAAAAGGTCAAAATTGATAGCTTAACAAAGTTCTAAATGCCAACTTACTATGAGTTTACATTTCATGGAAGGTCTAGGTTAGTCCTAGACTTTAAGCCTTCCCTAAAGCCCCCAATTAATATTGATATAAAAATGTGAGGTTGATTCAGAGAAAAACTGTAATCCTACCCTTGGCATCATAGACAAGAAACCCTTAGAGGGTTTTTTGTTGTTGTTGTTGTTGTTTTGAAGCAGTAGACAAGAGAATAGTTCTCTGAGAACACCTTCACTCAGTAGGCATAAAATCCACTGCTACCATAACTCATGGAGCTGTTGGAAAGATAAATTGTCCAGGGGGCCTCAATACTCAGTTTGTGTTATTCATATTATCCAGATAATTTATCATCATCTGGACTTTCGTCTCATTTCTAAAATATACTGTACTAAACTGGACCAACTGAGCAAACCACTTCCCTTCTCAATCCTTTCCATTGTGCTATGCAGAAATCACAGCAAATTCTCTATATCCTAATTTCCTAGAAAATGTAAATGGAGATATACATTTTCCTTAATTCTTTAGTTTCCTACACAGTCTCTTCTATTTCTTGCCCTTATTAAAACCTGGCTATTTCCCCAGGTTCCTTCTTCAATAGTCCTCTCAAGTAAAGTGGTTTTTGTTGTTGTTGTTTTTGTTTGTTTTTTTCCTACACTCATCTAGTTGAGGACCTGGAGATTATACTTTCTGTTTCCCACTGATCTTTCCCTATCATTTCTTCCCCTACCTCTAAAACTCCCAATTCCTTTGCAGATCATGCCATCAGGCATTATCCTCCACTGCCATCCTCTCTCTCTCCTGATGACTCATCTTTATTCACTTATAACTTCTGGTTCACAATATTCTTATCCAGCATTACATCATGATCATCTATATGGATAATCCATTTAATTTCTTGGTTTCTCGCTTCCTCAATTTCATTCTCAAGCTCCCACTTTCACTTTATTTTTGTTATTCTTTCTTATGGTCATAACTTTGACTTTCTCACCAAAAAAACTCTGCACAAACTGTAAGGATATGACTCCCTGATCACTCTCACTGTCCTTTCATCACCATTACTTTAAATACTTCCTCCCCCAAATTCTCAAGACTTTGTGAAGGACTCTAATCCCTGCGTATGTATCCAGCCTACTATAGTCCTTCTCGATGAGGTATCCAGAATGTTGTTTAAAAAGGTAAATCATATCACAACTCTGTTTAAAGCCCTCTTATTACATTCATAACAAAATTTAAATTATTTGTACTGGCTTTCAAAAACATTTTGCCTTCATTCTCCAAACTCATCTTGTACCTTTACCCCATTACCCACTATATTCCAGTTACACTGGCATTCTTCACTATCTTCATAACTGTTTTTACTACTTAAACTTGTCCTTATTCATATAACTATCTTTTAGGATTCACATTCTGAGAGGTTTATCCTGACCAATAATCCATAGGAATATGCAAGTCATTCTCTTCCACAAAATCCTATTTAATTTTCTCCATAGCATGTCTAGCTAATGTTTCTCTTTATTATTTACTGTCTATGTCCCCAAACCTAATATCAACTCCATATGAAAAGGAACTCTGCATTATGCACTGATTAACCCGTGTTTAGAATAGCATCAAGCACACAGTAAGTCTATAATCAATACTGATTGTTGAATGAAACACCTAAAACAAAATAAGAGCTTTAAGAATGAAAAGGAAGAAAAGGTGACTTTTGCCTAGGATAATCGGGAAAGACACAATATAAGAAGCAGACATAAGTCTTTGAAATAATTCAAGAGATAGAAACATGGCAGAGGCATAAGTAACGTGCAAACAAAATATGCAATATGTTAGAGAAAAATGGTCCAGATACAGAGCACTTAGAGGTGGGAGGTCAAACTTTGACAGAATTTTGGGGAAAAAAAGCTGGATTAAGGCCAGAGTATGAAGGACATTGAATGGTCTGTCAAAGATTTAGAATCGATTGCACGTCACTAGATGACCACTGGAGATATTCGAGTAGAAAAGGAACACAATCCAAAAGGACATTTTTCTAAGACGACTTTGAGGAAACTGAGCAGGATGCATCTGATGGAGTAAGAGTTGGGAAAGAAAAACAAGGGGTTCAGCTGGAGGAATTGGCCCCGGAAGATGATCATCATTTCTTTCCCCACGAAAAGGAAAAAGATATGAAAGACTTCTAAACTAATGAAATAGGTGGAAAAAACTTGAGGGGACCTTGAGGGTGGAAAGGGCGCCCATTAAGGGCAGTGTTCCCAGGCAGAAGTCTGCTGATGAGGGAAGAGTGGGGCGCTGAGGGCAGTTGGCTGGCAGTGGTTGAGGAACTGCTGGTTGAAGAGGGATACTGCGACGGTGTTAGAAACAGAGAAAGGTAGCTCCTTGTCCTTCATCCTCTTTCACCAATCGCCCAGGCCTGTGAAACTCCTACCGAAGCCACCCCTCCACAGAACTACAGCCTCGAGCGGCAAAGCCTTCACATCCAAACACTCTCCAGCACTGACAGCAGCTCTACTTGTTTTTCGCCCACCCCTGCCCCCCCCCCTACAAGGTGCGACCCTGGCCCACGTCACCCTTCTCTTGAGGATAAAAAGTAGGACTCCTCAATCCCGACCTGATCATGAACACAAACACGATCCCCACGTGGCGCCAAAATCTCGCACCGGTGTTAAGTCCAGAAGAAGGCGTTCCCCTGCACGCTCTGCGCATGTCCGGAAGCTTTTGATTTTTCAGCCTCCGACGGAGGCATATTTAAAGGGACAGGCTCACCCTTAAAGAATCGACCTTCGCAAGAGTTTCTCCAGTCGTAGAGCCGCCTACAGGCACCTAGAGGAATCAGGGGGCGTGGCCTTCAGAATGGCACCTCCCCTCTCCAGCGCTTCCGGGTGCGCTGGCGTTCCACTGCTAGCTCGGCCTGGCGGTGTTGGGTCAGTGCCTCCCACCTGACTCCCCGGCAGGTAAGGATTTCCGGCCTGTGCATCTCCTTCTCGGAAGGTTGTGGGAGTCGAGCCTCATTCTCTTTGCTCAGGGTTGTCGCGGGACCGCTGCAGAACGTAAATCGCCTTACCATCAAAGTAAGAAAAGTTAGGAAATAGGCTGCATGGACAGAGCTTGGTGGGTCCCTGGGGATCCAGAAGTTCGTCAAACCAGAGCACGAACCTGTGGCGTGGAGGGGCGTCACCCAGCCATATGTTGGCTCAGACACTCTCTGTTTCTTGGCTCCCAGGGTGTGTGTTCCTGAGCCTTTTTCCTCAGAACCAGGAAGTCAAGTCAGCACTCACGGAGATGCTTGTGGCGGGGAAAAGTTTCTCTGGCTTTCAAGATTCCAATTAGAAAGTGGAGAGGCATTGTAGGATCAGATAAGTACATTAACAGATTTGGAACATACGTGACGACAAGGAAGCAAAAGACACAAAAGGATAAAAAGCAAACCCTGAGAAAATACTTTTAGCCACTGAGAATGGAAACTAGCGCTATTGGTACCTCAAAAACCTGCCTGCCCCAAGCGCCTTAAAAGCACAGGATATTAAAATCTGTCGTTTTCCCTTTCTGGTAGTGATCCTTTAGACGTCTGTTGGAAAATTCATATTTCTTTTATTCTCCTGTTTTCATACTAAACATTCATGGGAAGTTTGATTTCTATTTGTCCGAACTGACCTCCTGATCTTTCAGAACAAACTTACTCCTTCCACAGTCTTCCTGTCAGTATATGTCAGGAAATGTGTTCAAGTCCAAAGACCTTGGTGCTATCTTCTGCCTCCTCTCATCAGCACACAAGATTCTATTGGCTGTACCTCAGAATATACCAGCATCCTGGATCTTCTGCAGCTTCTCTGCTCTACCCACTAATCCAAGCTGCCAGCATTTCCCATCAGATTGTTGGTACACTCTCCTAATTTGTCTTTTCCTGCTTCTGTGTCCTTACTTCAACATACTATAGAATTCATTCATTTGCTTATTCCCTGACTTCTTTATTAGAATATAAGTTCCAGCAGTTAATTCTCACCCCCACCCAATTGCCCTAAAGCTCTATTTCCAGGAGCCTTCCAGCACAAAGAGACACTCTGTAAATATTTGATGAATGAATGACATTATATAATTTTTAAATACCCCAAACATTTTAAATTACTTACCATTGAGTTAAGTCATTTTTTAAAAAAGATACATGTTTATGTATGATATGCCAGCACATATCCCAGTTTGAAAAAGGCTACCCTGTAGAATTTTGTAGGAAGTTATTATCAGTTTTTGTATTTGGTGATGATATTGTGGTGTTCAAAAATAAACATTAATTACTATCTGGCATATTTTGCTAAAAGCATATGAAAGCAAATAATGTATTTTAGAAGGGTTACAAATATATTAAAAAGTACTGTGCTTGATTAAATAAGACTACCAGCATCTGAAAAACTCAGCTATATTCTCAAATCTATTGTTTGTACCCAACCAGTAACCCTTCAACACTACTGTAAATATTGAGGTTACATATATTTCTGTGCATTACTTTTAAAAACAATGTTATGTAATAAATTCTGTCAAAAAATAATTGTTCCCACACCCATGCAAACCCAAAGTCCATCATTCTCCAACCCCTATACATTCCCCTCCTTTTATCACAGTCTTAAACTGTATTAATTCATTTGACAAAAATGTTTTGAAGTCTCTTGCGGCATACTATGGGCATATGAACAGAAACGCATTTGGATTCCACAAGCAGACATCGATTTTAGTATATTGCCACCTCATCTAGTATACTTGTCCTCATTATCTTATTTGAAAATATGAATGGTTTGTCTTCACCATAGAAATTAGTAATATGAGAAAATAATCATAAGGATACTTGTAGATCCAGCACCACTTCTGTTAATGCAGAGTACATCAAAGTACATTTTAAGGAGTTTAAAAAAGATGATACTTTCTATACAGTTTATTTTCATTATTGAAAAGCCATAAAAGCAAAATTAAAATCACCATAAAAATAATCATCAAGAGATAACCACTGTTAATATTTTGGTTTATATTCTCCTGCTGTCCCTACACTATCATCTCAGCTGGAAATCTGGGTGCAGGAGAGCTACAAAATTTATTTCTGACCATGATGTAGCCTGTTTTTGTTCTCAATTCCCTGCATTTTAGCTGTAGTTTTTAGAATTATTGAGCCTTTGTACCTTTCTAGCTTTGTCAATCATGTATTTCTTACAGTTTAGAGAAATCTGGATAAATAAGGGAAAATAACTTGAAGGAGACAACTGCATAATCTATATGTAGACAGGATTTCTTAATTTAAAAATATCATCCTTTCATTCAACACAAATGTTTTCTGTAGCTGCTGAAGTAAATTTGGTTGAATTGCTACCCAGAAGAATACACAAGCAGGGAAGACAGAAACACAATAAAATATAATAATTGTTGTAATAGAAGAATGATCAGGTGACATTTTGGAGCAAAAGAGTTGATTATCAGGAAAAGCCAATACTACCTTCTGAGTTGGACTCAGAGGAGTAGCTGACTCTTAAGGTGCTTGAGCTTTTACTTAGCCCTAGATGACTTTGTGTCCTACTTCATAGAGGAAATGACATTGTGTGGGAGCTCTCCCTCTATTCTTCTTTTTAGATTCAGAGGAAGAGATTTCCTTCTGCTCAGCACTGACCTTTTCACTATCTCATTTGTGTCAACAACCAACTTAAGCCTTAACCAGCAGCTCTCAAAATGTGATTGGGGTCCCTGAAACTCTTTCATAAAGTCTGTAAGGTCCAAATCACATATGGATAAGAGATTCATTGAGTGCGGTGGATTTTAATGTGCAGTGTTCATTGATACAACGTTAGATTCCATATTTCAGCTTCTTTTCCTTCTTCAACTCCCTTCCCCTGTTCCTCTCCTTCTCTTCATAGATGGACATCTTGGAAAATCTATTTTTACCATTCATTCACTGTTCACTGTACTGTTCTTAAGTCACCACTATCCTTCAGGTTTCCAAATTTTACATACCAATTGGTATTTATTTGACCTCTCTAGATTTCTAGAATGGACACCAATCAGTCCCCATCCTATAAATCTAATATGGTACTGTCCTGATTTTCTTTTTGCCTCCATAACTTATCAAGTACTTTTTAAATTGCTTCTTTTACTTCATTCCTTCCCATTCTATATGTCGCTCGCTAATTGGCAAATTTATTTTTAACTTGTTTTCTCACCTGTATATGCAAATATGCTCTCAATTCATAAATTTTTTTTAAATTTAGATGTTGATGCATTTTTATTTTATTAATTTATTTATATGCAGTGCTCAGAATTGAACCCAGTGCCTCACACATGCTAGGCAAGCGCTCTACCCCTGAGCCACAACCCCAGCCCCTCAATTCATAAATGAGAATAGATAAGTGAGCATTCTGTGCTGAAACCTCTCTGCTAAGCTCCAGACATGCATATAGCTACTTGATGCCACCTTTCCTAGATGGTGCCAGAAATAGGTATTTCACAAAATCCAGGCATCCTCTCATTATTCTCTCACTCTCCCTTTCCTCTAATCTCTGATCTCTTATGAATTTTCTTTCTTTATTTATTTCTTTCTTTTTTATGATATGGGAGATTGAACCCAGAACTACTTAACCACTGAACCACATTCCCGGGCATTTATTTATTTATTTATTTATTTATTTATTTTATTTTGAGACAGTGTCTCCAGGGCCTTGCTAAATTGCAGAGGCTGGCTTTGCACTTTCAATCTTCCTGCCTCAGCCTCCCAAGCCACTGGCATTACAGGTGTGCACCACTCTGCCTGGCTATGAAATTGTTTTGATTTGGTCTCTAAACTTTTTCATCTTTTTTTTTTTGTCTATTACCTGAAAGTATACTTTTTTTTTCAGACTTTCATTTCTGCTCATCCAGATTATTGTAGATGTTTTCAAACTGGTCTCCTTGCCTTGATATGGTCTCTTGACCTTGACTGATCTCTTTAATTTTTTATCCAGAGGAATCCACTTAACAAAGATCATACAATACCCTCTTCTTAAAAATCATGAAGTTGCTCCTCTGAAACTTTTAATACTAATTTGAACTCCTTGTCTTAGCCTACAGAGCACGTAATGATTTAGCCCTCCTGTTTCTCCAACTTCATCTCTCTTAACTATATCACATACACCTTGTGGTCCAGCTTTAATAGATATTATTTGAGCCTAACCCATGCTTTCTCATCTTTTTCCAGACTGTTCCTTCTATACAGAATTTCCTTTTGGGTTTATCATAACCTTTCACTCATCCTACTAACCTCTCACTCAACCAAATATATCATAATATATGACACCAAACCAAATATGTCCTAATATACCTGATTTTGACTGCCTCTGCTTGATGCTCCTTCTCTGAGCCACATAACACTCTAAACATACCTCTTTATTTATCATTGATTTTAATTGTTTGTATTCTCTGCTAGACTGAGCAACTTAAGAACAAAGATTTTCTCTTTGGGATAAAGCCTGATGCATATGTTTGATGAATGTATAAATGAATAAAAGGAAAGGAATGGTCCCTCTAGAAAAGAGAGTGATATGAACAATACATCAATTATAGAAGCAGGGTTATATGGTATGAATTTTGGACTCAAGAGTTCCAAATGAGTTCAAGTTCCTGATCTTTCAGTTACTACTATGCAGTATAAAAGTGGCAAAATTGTCTTAGTTACTGAAAGGATTAAATGAAATACATAATTCACCTAGTAAGGTACAGGGCAATAATTTGTTTATTCCTAAAATAAGCAC